CAAAAAAAATTTCAGCCTTTGCTTCCTCGTGGATGGTTTTGGTTTTTTTTTTTTAGGGATCATCCCAGGTCTTCTGGGGATAAAAAATTTTTCTACCGAGACTGATTAATGTGTGCGCATGGTGCACTACTAAAATCCAGATTAACGCAGGGATGCGTGTTCTAGGATCAAAACCTGAACAAGCCACCTGCAGTGCAGAAATGCTGAGAGCTGGTTCCTGATGGAAGCAAGGAGAAAACAGTGAGGTGGTTGGGATGACCCTTTCAGATGTTCCCTGCTCCCCTGGCATGGATGAAGACGAGAGCTCTGGCCCGGGTGCAGCCCCGAGCTGCGCTTGCTCCCGCAGACGGGAGAAATGCGCAAGGTAAAAAGCAGTTGTCACGACGAATAAAGTCTGAAATGCGTCTTCGGAAAATCTTTTTGATTCTAATTGGCATTTCTGAGGCTGCTGCTGGAGGATCATAGAGGACCGGGCTAGCGGCAGAGCGAGTCCCGGGGAGCGTTCCTGTCCCCAGCCTCGGGCATTTGCTGAATCCATCTGCAGAGGACCCGGAGAGGAGCTGACCACGAGCCCTAGGTCAGGCAGCCAGGACCTCTCTGCAGCCTTCAGCGGGGCGCTTTGGGAGATGGCATCTTTGACCTGGTTGCCAACCTGTGTCAGCACCAAAAGGGACCTTTGTTTAAAAAAAACCCAAAAAAAAACCAAGAAAAAAACCCTAAACCCCCTGTATTGGGATATTGTTTAAAAATCAAAACCAACCCCCCCAAAACCCCTCATAAACCCTCACAGCAGTTTTTCTGAAATTTTGCAGCCCTGCATCCAGGCAATCTCATTTCCAGCGGCCCTTTGTAAGGAAGAGGCTTTGTTTCCTCGCGGTGACGAACGCCTCGTTCCCTTCTCCTCCGCAAGCGGCTGGGTGCGGACGTGTCTGCTCTCATCCCCTCCTCCATACAGCAAAGAAACGGCTCTTGCCTGGCTCGGGGACAGACCCAAGGCCCTTGAGCATCCCAGTGCCCGGCGTGAGCCGCTGGTGCGGAGGTCGGGAAGGATGGGGCTGGCGGTGAGAAGCAAGCGGGAGAGGCCGGGAAGGACGGACGCCAGGGCAGACGGTCTCTGCGGCTGGGAACCCTCCCTTGCTTAGGGGGCTTTTTGTGCTAAGTCTTCAGCTGCTGGCTGAGCAGAGAGGTGGTTTTGCAGGAGCCCAAGCAGAGAGCAGGGCACTAACCCAACCTGCGGCAATTGCTGCGCCGGAGGAGCCTGGCTTGGAGGCTTGGTGGCCACGGTGGCCCAGGCGGAGCATCTCTGCCCCTCGGCTTTTGTCTGAACAGCGTGTTAAATGCAAACAGGTTTAAAGCCTGGTTTAAGCAGCTCATCTGTTCGGTTGGCAAAGGTTAAAAGATCTCCAGTGTGTTTGCGTTTAATTATCTATTTTAGTGGCAGATTATATTTTTTCATAGGAGATGAAATCTGGATGGGTTTAAAGGACGTTTCTCTACATGGAGGCTCGTGCACAACAGGCTGTAAGGATTTATTTGGAGCTGCTATGCTTTGTCTATCCTTGTTAAGTACCCTGAGAATACAGACTGGCACTGGGGGAATTTAATGTGACACATAAAAATAAGGAGTGTTGGAGAAAGCTGTAGGCTTTGCAGTATTTAACTAGCTTGTACCCTTGCTACGTAGCAAGCTATTTTCCTTGAACTGGAGATGCCAGGAGTGGGAGAACACCTATTGCCTCTCCTTGGGCCTGGCGCTGGCCGTGTTGGTGTAAAGCAGGCGTGCTGGGAGAGCGTGAGCTGCCGGCCCCGTGCCGCTCGTTTGGGAGCCAGGCATCGCTCTGCTAAAGAGGATTAGCACCAAAAAGGCTCAACACTGGAAAATATGCATGAGTAAAAATGTAAATAGGATCAGCAAGCTTGTTTAATTTTTATACGTGATTTTTATCACTGTTGTCACAGCTCATTTGGCTGCGAACTGGTCTTGCTGTCCTGGTCGGTGCGTGAAGGGTTTGCTGCGAGCCGTGCCCTTGCTAGCATCCTCCGCCAGCCCCCGCGCCTGCCGCGGCTCTGGTACCCAGCTCTTTACGGAGGAACTAAGCAGCAGAGCACCGAGATGGGCAGCTTGGGGGAGCAGAGCGGGCTGAGGTGTCGGGAACGGTGGGTTCCAGGTACCCAAGGTGTGACATTAACCTGCTGCAGGGACTTTGGTGGGTCAGTGCCTTCCTGTGCTCCCCTTGGCCTCCCCCAGGCAGGGCAGTAATGCTTTGCTCTCCAGGCTCACAGGAAAAATCCCATCGCTTGCTCTAGCCTTCTTCTGTCTATTTAAAAAAGCCCTTTAAAAGCCATCTCCCTCTAGGAGATGAATTCCTCGCACATATGCTGCCTCCCAAGGGCCTGCTGGCAGCCCCCCCAGCAGAGCTGTAGCGTGCAAAACCGCTCCTGCCAGGTAAGGTGCATGTCAGGGGAGTTAAGCTGCCTTTAATCCTTTCCCTCTTCCCCTGAGCTGAGCACACAATCTCCTGCCATTACAGGAATGCACATTAAATGTGGCTCTTTGGCTTAAATTTTATGAGCAAGAAAGGGGAGGGATGTCGATTTTTCTTTTTTTGGTGTGATGCTGCTGCTAACAAGCCAGGGTGATCACTGCCTCTGACAGCAGCAGCCTCTCCACTTCACTCACGTAGGGGGTTTGCTCTCGATGCAACGGATCTGGCTGCTGCTTTTGCACCAAACGGGCACCCTCGGAGCCTTCAACCAACAAAAGCCTCTTTTTTTCTTTTTTTTTTTTTTTTCTTCTTTATTTTGTGCAATTGAGGGGTGCCCAGAACAGCTTATACGACGTAGTTACACCCTTGCACAGAGCTCTGTGTGTAGCATTACCACTCAGGTGAGACCCAGGGGTTTCACATGGCCTTGCTTGTAGGATGTGGGGTGCAAAGCAGGTATCGGGGTGGCCCCGTGCCCCTGCAGAGCTGCTGCCCACCCACGGTGCCGTCTCCAGCAGTGGCAGGAGCTCTTTCCAGCTGGCAGCGGCACTGCAGACCAGCGCTGCAGCCTGCTGGTATAAACTGACCTTTTGGAAAACAGGGAGCAAACCGCCCTAATGGGCTTGCAGGGTCTTTAGTCCCGGCTCTTTCTGCTGTTTAAACAATTCTTAGACAAATGCTTTTGTACTGCAGCTGTCTGCTCCAGATCTGCCGTCTCGGTCCCCCCACGGCCTGCCAGGAATTGAGGGCGTCGAGCATCCCTGCCTGCCAAGGGAGGATGGAGGCAGCGGAGCCTCCGCCTCGGTGCTGTGGGTGCTGACAGTCACGGAGCGTCTGCAGGGCCCTGCTTCCCCGCCACCTGCTGCTTTAATTTGCCACTGTCGTTTGCTAAATAATTGTTTCTCTGCAGTCTGGCCTCTGAGGGCAGCAATCCCAGCGACGCTGCTTTGGGCATCTCTTATCTGTAGCGTTAATTCTCTGTTTCTCTGAACACTTATCTCTGCGGGATAGCAGGGGGAGAGCAGCTCTCGGGGCGGAGAGCAGCGTGGCATCCTACCCAGCAGTTATCCCACCAGGCCATGGAAGTGGTCGAAGCGATGCTGCCCAGGCTTGGTGCTCCCGTAGACCAGGCACAAACTTGCTGGTCAGGAGCAAAGCGGATGCTGGCATTCCCGGGAGCGAGCCGGCCGGCGTTTGGCTGCAGGACTGGCATCTGGCTTTGTGAAATGCAGCCCGTGACTCTCATAAAGCCGTCGCCAAAGGCAAGCTCTCCATGCAGGCTGCCCTGGCTGTAGGCGAGCCCCTGTGCTCGTCCAGGAGTATCCGAGGGTGGAAGGGGCAGTGGGAAGGGCTGTTCCCCCTCCTCTGCCCTTGCAGGAGGCAGCATGGCTCAGAGAGCAGCTCACTTGTATTTAAAGCAGGTGGTACTTAGCAAAACGTACGTGCTGAAATACTACAGAAGGTGCGGGCTGGGACAGGATATAAACCATTTGCTGCCCTTTAAAGAGGATGCTTGGCCATCTTCCCCGCGCCTTTCCCCCCCGAAGCCCCGGCCGATCAGCCTGCAGTTCCCCCAGCCTGCGTGCCCCTGCAGCAGCGTATTCCCGGCAGCCCAATTTTAATTAGGTTTCTCTTATAAAACCAAAATGTGGAGCAGCGAAGCGCTGTCAGCTCAGACCTTCAGCTGTGAATCTCCTGAGAGCAGAGGGAGGCAGGTCTGGGGGTGGTGGTGCGGGGGGGTGCGGGGGCCAGGCTTGAGCCGAAACCCTCGGTCAAACAGCAGCGTGGCTCTTCCAGCCATGGGGAGACGTGCCCGGGCTTCCCGCTGAGCTCTGCCCGGGTACGAGGGGCAGGGATGCAGGTTGTGATGGAGGCTCCTAAGAAGGAGGTAAAGTCAGTGCGCTCTGCGTGCGTCCACTCGTGCTCTGCAGGGGGAAGGGGGGCACAAAATGGGCTTGAACAGAGCGGTGTGCGGCAGCCGGAGCAGGGTGGGCTGCCTCCCTGCTTGGGGGACGGAGAATAAATCTGAGCTTTGCCAGGTTGCCTGCTCTCACGGAAAGAAATTCAGATTTCTCTGTGGCCGTGGAGGGAGGCTGAGCAGACCCGAGTGCTCCCCTCTCAGGCACCACACATGGAGAGGGGCTGGGGTTTACCTGGGCGTCGTTACGCAGCGGTTAAAGCGTCTGCGCCGAGCGGGAAGGTTGCTGTAAGCGATGGCCTGAGATCGAATGGCTGGAAGAGGATGCCGCAGAGCGGGCTGGGGGGGGGAGAGGGTGGCGGTGCTCTGCCCCACCAATGCTGCGTGTGCCGCAGCCCCTCACGGTGCCCGAGGTCAGTACATGGGGCAGAGCTACCATCCTTGGGAGCCTTCCTCCTCCTCCTCCTCCTGCTGCCATGGGGACGTGCTGGGAGATGAGGTCAGGAGGGTGCTGTAACGCGCATGATCTCCGCTCCCGCACCTGACGTGGCTTCTGGTGCCCTCTGCTCCCATGTCGCTCCTTCCTGTCCCCGCAGGGCTGTAATGTCATGGAAGACCAGGACCTTCGGGACATCGGGATCAGTGACCCGCAGCACCGTCGGAAGCTCCTCCAGGCTGCTCGCTCCCTCCCAAAGGTCAGCGCCAATGCCCCTCACGTGAAGCAGGGAGGGGGCATTGCCCAGCACAGCTGTGAAAGCAGAGGAAACAAAAACCAGGCCCTGTGACTCCAGCCACGTCCCTGCTGTGGGAAGGGTTTTGGGAATAGCAGGGAGGAGGAGGAGTATTTGTCTGCCAGGCTGTGTGGCTGGGATGACTCGGTGCTGGGCAGAGGGCGGCTGTCCCTCCTGCCAGCCTTGATCCCAAGTGCACTCCCTGTTCGCACAGTGATTTTTTTACTTTAGAGCTGCTAGCGGAGGTGATGAGGGGCTTTAAAATTATTTTAATTGATGCTGTATGCCTTGAGACCCCAGCCCCCTGGGGCTTTTAACCCCTTTCTTGTCCTTTTACAGTTGAAACCCCTGGGCTGTGATGGGAACAGCCAGCCTTCGGTTCCCGCATGGCTCGACTCCTTGGGGCTGCAGGATTACATTCAGTCGTTCCTCTCGAGCGGCTACAGCTCTATTGACACTGTGAAAAACCTCTGGGAGCTTGAAATAGTCAACGTGAGTATTGCCTTTCTCTGGCCACGGCAGTGAGGTCCTGCCCACGGTCCCTCCGGGGCTGGGACTTGCAAGGAGTCGTGTTAACAGGGAGCAGCGCTGCTCGAAGCAGGGAAGCTTTGCTTTGTGCCGAGGGCAGGAAAGCCTCTGGTGACCATGGCCTCTACCTGCAGGTGTTGAAAGTGAATCTGCTCTTTTGATCATCGCCTCCCTGGCAGACAGACCGTACGAGGAGCCACCAGCAAAGCCGCCGCGGTTCTCACAGCTGAGAGTGAGTCACTGTTTGTGTTCCCTGCCTGGCCGATACGTCTGTGCGGAGCGTGCTCGGCGGTGGCCGGAGTGCTTTCTTCTGCCCTGGCTCTCCTTCACTTCCCTCCCTTTCTTTCAAAGAACTCAGCCCTGGTCTGTCAGGAATAACTGGGGGTGTTCAGTCTGGAGAAGAGGAGGCTGAGGGGAGCCCTGATCGCCCTCTACAACTGCCTGAGAGGAGGCTGTAGTGAGGTGGGGGTCGGCCTCTTCTCCCTGGGAACAGACGACGGGACGACGGGGAATGGTCTGAAGCTGCACCAGGGCAGGTTTAGGCTAGACATTAGGAAAAACTTCTTCACCGAAAGGGTTGTCAGGCTCTGGAATGGGCTGCCCAGGGACGTGGTCGAGTCCTCATCCCTGGAGGTATTTAAAAGAAGGATAGATGAGGTGCTTAGGGCCAGGGTTTAGTGGTGGGATGGCAGGGTTAGGTTAAAGGTTGAGCTCGATGATCTTAAAGGGCTTTTCCAACCAAAGTGATTCTATGATTCTATGATTCAGAGCTCTCACTTCTGGGGGACTCAGAGATCTGTAGAGGATGTTTACTGAGAGCTCAGATCCTGGATGGGTATCCAGGCTCAGAGAGGGGGACACATTGAGCCTTACGCTGCTGCTTTAATGCACAGGAAATTCTGCCTAGCAAAATCAATAAAAAAAGGGGGGAAAAAAAACCCACCCTAAAATGTCAATATTTAAGTTAAAGCTCCTTTGAAGGTAAGTATGGAGAGTAATGAGCACAGAGAGTGATCTTTGAAAATTGCATTGCTTTTTAAAACAAGGAAAGGGTAAAACCTAACCGGTTTGTTTCTTATTAAAACAAATTGATTTGACCTGGAAGCTTGGGTTACTCCTGGTTCTCAGATACTTGGTGGTTTGGGAAGAAAGTTCTTGAAGCATTGAGGCAACGGCACATCTGGCTGTGCGGAGGAGGGAGTGTTGTCTTAAACAGTTCCCATGGCTGTTGCCATAAACATGTCCCTTGGCTGCTGCTGGAGGTGATGCAGAGCCCAGTACTCCCACTCCGAGCGTGGTCAAGCAGGACTCGGGAAACAGCCAGGCTGGCTCTGACTTGGCCGGAGCACTTGGGCAGAGTAAAAACAAATTACAAATTTGACGTTGTGCGGTAGAAATTCTGCTCTGGCTTGGCCCCACAACAGCACACGTCACCGTTTGTTTGGACAGACGCGCTCTAGCTGAAGTGGTGGATGAGTTTATCAACTCTTCGCTTTCTTCTTTGCGGGTCAAACTCCATCTTCCCTGTGCAAAACAAAGCTGAAGGGTATGAACACATCAGTGCTGGGAGAATTCTTAACATGGCCAGTTGCGTCCGTTCAGCTTTTCACCCTATCAACGCCAGCGACCCAAGCAGCAAATACTTGCCCAGGCATGACCCCGCTATTGAAACGAGAGGGGGAAGAGAATATTCAGCCCTTGCAGGTCAAAGTCTGGATGCCTGCCCCATGGGAAATGTCAGGCAGCTCCTTTGGATCCGGTGCCTCCGTGCAAGGTGGGTGCCTGCACTGAGCGGGCAGCAGGGCGCTACGCCCACCTCGGTGCCCTGCGCCGAAGGGGAATGCTGAGCTGCCTGCCTTCCCCTTGTTTCCTGGCCAGACGTAAGGCAGCCTTCCCGCAGGCAGGAGTGTGACACGGCTCAGCTGCTGAGATGGGATGCAGCTGGGCCCTGATGTTTTGATTGTGCTGGTTGGGAGTCGGAGATCTGTCTCCCTGGGCTTCTCTAGAGCTCTTGCTCTCCCTGCCAAATAGCACTCGATGTGATTTGTGGATGTTAAATTTTTTTTTTTTTTTTTTTTTTTTTGCTGGGGGAGAGGCAGCCTTTGGGTGTCAGGCCCTTTGTTATCAGGGTTGGCTGGGAGGGGAGCCATCGTGTTCACCGTTCTTCCTGAAAACCGACATTCGAGAGCTGAATTTGGCAAAACCCGCTGAGCTTGCAGCTAACCTGTGAGCTCGGGAGCAGGGCAGCGTGCCGCAGAGGGCGAGCGTGTCGTGCTGCTTCCTCCCAATGTTTGCAAATTAGCTTCCTGGAGCAGGAACTGGGATTGATTGGAGTTTCCCCATCCCAAACATCTGGTCCTTCCCCTGCTGCAGCGCTCTTCCCTCTTGCCTTGGATTCCCAAGGCTTTTCAACCAAACCAGGCGTAGCTGAAGCGAGTTGGGCTGCTGTGCCCTGCTTGCTCACGCTGGATTTTTTAGGAACTGGGGTTCAGGTGTAAAAAAAAAAAAAATAAAAAAAAAAAGAGAGGGTTCACGCTGGTTTGCTGGTACTGCACCAGGGACATAAGCTTGGGAGCCGGGAGGGTGCCACATACAAACCCTGCACCTTCTCCCCGCTGCTCAACTGCCCCCTTTTCAGACAACAAAAGCCCGGACGGGCAGCAGCCGGCTGAGGATCTGCAGTTCTCTGCAACGTCCTCTTGAGACCGATGAGGCTGAAGGCAGGGTTGTTGCGGGGGGAGAGGAGTCCTTTGGTGCAGCATCAACTGATTGATATGCTGGACGGGGAGGCTGTGTAAGAGAATGGGCCATTTGCAGCATTTCCTGGTGCTACAGCTGGTGCGATCCAGCGCCTGGCTCCGGCGTGGGGAGCGGAAGGACGTCAATGGCAAATTAAGCAAGTCCGTTGAATAGGACTAATGCGTGTTGCAGCTGTGAGCTCCCCGCATTGTCTGCCGGGCCGGTTGGCACGTACAGGCAGCGAATCTTGCCTGCAGTAAGAGCCAGGCTGTCAGGCATCTGGGCTGATCTCTCGCTGGGCTCCCAGGGCATCTCTCCTGGGGTGGTTGATCGTCAGCAGTTTGAGTGCTTTGCTTAGTGCTTTAGCGGAGCCTGTTCTTCTATAAACACCCTGCCCGCAGCTCGGCGTGTCTCCTGCACTCCTGGGATGAGCTCACGGGAGGCGGAGGCGTGCTCGGCAGAAATACCTGCCTGAAACCATCCTGGAGCAAATCAGGGGTATCCTGCAGAAAATAAATGGTGTGCTCGATGGCACTGAGGCAGGAGCCTGCAGGGCAGGAGCTGACTCCCTTAACTCTGTTGCACCCTTTGTGTCGGGCACTGTACAGGGGAGCGAAGGGTGGGCACGGCTGTGGCACGGGCTGACCGGGGTGGTTGTTGGTCTCTGCCTCTTTCAGTGCCAGGACTTGATCTCCCAGACGTCGTCGCCCCTGAGCCAGAACGACTCCTGCACGGGCAGATCTGCCGATCTCTTGCTGCCCTCCGGGGACACTGGGAAGAGGCAACACGACCGTGGCACCGAGGTTGCTCCCTACTCCAGAGCTGAGCGCTACAAAGCACAGGTCAGTGGGTGCTTTTGTGTGTCCTGGGGGCCCCTCTGCTCAGTTCAGTGCAGACTCACCCCCTCTCTGGAGCCAGCAAGGAGTTAGGGTGATGCATGGAGAGCCAGAGAGATGGTGAGGCACCACTTCCCTCAAGCATTAGAGCCAGAAGCTTGTTTATGCTTCGGTCTCACCTTGAAAACGGGTGACTCGCAATTCCATCAGCACTGGCACCTTCACCCGCGGCGTGCTGCCTCCTCCCAGCCCCTGTGGGATTTGGCCGTTGCGAACCTCAATTGCCTCAACCTGAAGAGCCCTCCTGGGATCTGTGTTTCAACCCAGGTTGGACCTGCTGTGGCTTCACATCCATGTTTCTTCCCTTCCAGGAGGACCGTCGGGAGTCAAAGCTGACCCTGCGCCCGCCCAGCCTGGCTGCACCATACGCCCCAGTCCAAAACTGGCAGCACCAGCCGGAGAAGCTCATCTTCGAGTCCTGCGGGTACGAGGCCAACGTAAGTGGCTTTTGGCTTGTGGGGGCGGTGAGGATGAGGAGGCTCTGGGGTTGGGCTGTTGCATGTGGAGTTGTCACACTTCCTCCCCCTCCCTGGGTGACCTGTCCCTGCCCAGCCATGGCCGTTGGCTGCTCACGGGGCTGTGGCGTTGCCTTGGGGTTGGCAGCGTTCCCTGCTTGAAGCCTTTAGGATGTCTGGGTGCACGTTAACATCTCCCCCTCTTCCAAACAGTACTTGGGCTCCATGCTGATCAAAGACCTCCGAGGGACAGAGTCTACGCAGGACGCCTGTGCCAAGATGAGGGTACGGAGGCCCCGGGGACAGGGGGGGATTCACTCACACCCAGTGGTGCCTGATGTGGAGAGGGGAACGGGGAGATCTCCGTGATTCCCCAAACCCTGCAGGCTGCCCCTGTGCAGAGCAGGGACCCCGGCCACCTAACAGGCTGTGCTGCTGTCGCTGGTGTGAACTGGCCCTCCCCAGCACTTTTCCCCGTAGCTGGAAGGTCTGTGCAGTAGGAGGACGGGTGCTTTCACTGGGGAAAGGGGTCCTGGGTTTGCTTCAGGTCCCCGTCCCTTCCCCTCTGCTTCCACCAGGAGCAGGCTTTCCTCCTCCTGGTCCAAGACCCTCAAAGCCTGCCTTTGTGGGGCAGCAGCTTGGGGGTCTCGGGGGTGGGCTGGGGCGGTGGTGAAGAAGGGAGCATTTCTTCACAACTGGTCACTTGAATGTTCTTGTTTCTGAAGAAATCCACAGAGCATATGAAGAAGATCCCGACCATAATACTGTCCATCACGTACAAAGGGGTGAAGTTCATCGATGCCTCTAACAAGGTGAGCTTCAGCTGCCTCAAAGTTGGTGTCTGGAGGGACGAGACCTGCAATCCCACCTGCCTGGGGGGCTGCATGTCTGATTTAGTGGCTCCAGAAGCCACAGCTGATCCTGAGGAACCCAGGTTCTCAGGACTAGAGGAGACCACCAAGGTGCTGATGGTTGCCTGCATGCCAGAGGCTTGCAGACTGGCTGCTTGTGGACCACGTTGCCATTTATTCTGACCACGTTGCCGTTTAATCCTACCATGCGAGGGAGCTAGGGGGTCTGACTGGGAGACCCCCCCTCCCTGCCAGTACCTGTTTTGCTCCTTGCCCCTGGTATGCGCTTGCCACGACCACCGTTTGCCGGGTGTATTTGCCATCCCCAGAAAGGTGACGGGTGCTTGTGGTTGACCCCGGCAGAATGTCATTGCTGAGCATGAGATCCGGAACATCTCCTGCGCTGCTCAGGACCCCGAGGATCTCTGCACGTTCGCCTACATCACCAAGGACCTGCAGACCAGCCACCACTACTGCCACGTCTTCAGCACCGTGGATGTGGTGAGTGGGTTATGGCATCTCTTCTCCCAGCGCGCTGCAGTCCTTTTGCAGTCCGTTTGTTTCATCACTCAGCTTTACTGGCGTGTCCTAGACCGGCCCCTTCTAGGGCTCTTCTACCTGTTGTACCCTAAAATGTTCCTTTCAGAGTCCTGAATGGACTCAAAATGCTTTTACTTTGGAGCTCTGTTGACAAAGAGCGTATTTGTCTGGCTTCATTACGGCAGTCTCCAGTGCTGAATAAAGCAGGGCAGGAGATTTTCCCTCCTGGGGAATATGCCATGAACAAAACCCTAATGCGCTCTCAATTATGTTGAGTGTAATAGGCTGATTTAACAGCTTTTTAATTCACTGAGAGTGTGAAAGCATAACTTGCCTTTATTCTTGGGCAGAAACAGCTGTACAAGACACTCGGGCTTTTTCTCTTTACAATACAAAACGCTGCTGCACCGCGATGCTTACGGGGCTGTAGCGGGCACCTCCGGCTGGGGCTGTGCGAGCGTGGAGGCACCTCGGTGCCGGCTGCTCCGCGGGGCAGGAGCTCAGCGCTGCCCAAGCGTGCAGAGCAGCTTTGCCAGGGATACAGCAGGATGTGACCCGCTAACGGAAAGGCGATGGGCTCTGCCGAGGTCGTGACTCCAGAGCAAGCTGCTGAGCGCACGGACTCTGCGCGGGGCGAGGTAGCTCGTACGCACCTCACGGCTCTGTGTTTTCTGTGCTCTCTCCAAAGAACCTGACGTACGAGATCATCCTCACGTTGGGGCAGGCGTTCGAGGTCGCCTACCAGCTGGCGCTCCAAGCCCAGAGAGCGAAGCCTTTGGGTGCCGCAGCAGGAGAAATGATCGAAACAAAATCTTCCAAACCGGTGCCTAAACCGCGAGCCGGCATGAGGAAATCTGCAGTACGTATGTGCGGGCCGGCGGGCTGCCGGGAGCGATTGGCGTGGTCCGAGCTGGGATTTCTCTTGGGCACCACATGCTTAAACCTCCCCCTTCGCGGTGGGGGGACCCCAGATGTGGACACGGTGCCTGTAGCTTCAGGCACCGCTGCTGTTGCAGTGTCTGTGGCTCTGCTGGCAATCCTGCTGCAGCGCTAGGGCTTCCCCTGGCAGGATGAGGGCAAGCAGAGGTGGAAATAGCCCGGGTGGGATGGGGCTCAAGTGCCCTGCTGGGTCCAGCACAGCTTCCATGGTGCAAACCCTGCAGAGCCGCAGTAAGATCAGTGGGTACCCTGCGGTTTGCAGCGCAGGAACGCCCCTGTAGCCAAAACCAGCCAAGGCTGGAGCTGCTGAGGAGCAAGGACTGCTGCATAAGCCATTGCCTTCCTTTAATGTCTCCTTTTGTCTGTGTTCTGCTTGCTCCCCCCGCTCAGGTGCCGCTCCCTCCCGACACTCGCTGTTGTTACTGTCACACCTGTACAACACACCGCCCCTCCTACCTGCCGCTGCAGTCTGTTAGTCCCGGAGCCAAGGTCTTTACCCTTCTTCCTGCCATCTTCCATAACGAACCGACCCGGGCTGCCCCCGCTGCCGCCGGCCCGCCTGCCTCCCCGCTTCCCGCGTCCCCTGCTGTGGTCCCGTGTCCCACCTCGCTGCTGTCTTCCCTTCCCGCTCGTTCCAGGGCCGTGCCATGGGCTCAGCTGAACCCCAGGGACAAACCGCTCGTGGCCGTCCCCGCTGATGTAGAGCGGCAGCTCTCAACTAACTGCGTTGCTCTTTCTGGTGTTGTTAACCTTCCAGTAGGATCCTGATTTAGGAGGACAAGAGGAAAGAGCCTTGCTTGGTCAGGAGAGTAAATCACGTTAGGAGCTCACCTGCCAGGAGCTGTCTCCCTCTCTCCCTTTTTATTTTTTTTTTTTTGTAGTGCCATCTTTATAGCGCTGAATTTTTCATGCTTGTTTGTGAGATGAAGTGAAGCTGTCGCTAATGGTAACAGGGGCTCGCAGGCCTAACTCAGGAAGTCATCTCAGGGTGCTGGGTTGAGACTGACGTGGCTAGACGTGGTTTAGCTGCGAAGGACTCGAATGCCTCCCCAGTGAGAGCTGCTTCCCCGCACACGTGCACATTTTTGGGACGGGCGTTAGGCAGAGCAGCAGCCTCTCCGTGCTTTGAATCCCTACTTGTTCCAAAGCACGGGTGACCTAATGTGCCCTTTCTTTCCTTATTTTCTAGCTGGAGCCCCCTGAAGTGGACCAAGACTCCCAGTCTCATGCCAGTGTCTCCTGGGTCGTGGACCCCAAACAGGACTCCAAGCGGACCCTCAGCACTAAGTATGAGACCACTATCTTCTAAAGCAAACACACCCCGTGTCCACCTAGTCTAACCGTGCCTTTGCGATCTGATCTGTCTGCTGTTCTAAACTCCCTCTTCCTCCAGCTGCTCGCACTGAGCCCCGCGTAGGCACTACGTCAAAGGCAGCAGCACTTAGGAGACTGTAGACTTAAACAGCTTTTGTACCTGATCACTACTGAACACTGTGAATTCTCCTTACTCGGAAACAAGGGTAACACGCTGTTAGATATCCGTGAGGTGGGAGGTGCAGAGCGATGCAGGCTGGGGGAAGCGGAGATGTGGATCCAGGAAGCCGCCTGCCGTTTTCACGTCTTGCCCCTCGCTCTGGCACTGTGAATCCCTGGGGCAACGTGACACCCCCCAGGCCTTTTTTTTCTATTTCACCTTCTTATCCTTGGACTGATGGAGACCTCTTGTCTCTGCGGTGCACGCACCCCCTCCTCCTAGATCCTCTCCTTCCCGACTGAGCCACGGCTGCGTACTGTTCCAGTGAACTCACCCCTCTTTTTACCTGCCATCCGAATCGACACTAACCACTGTGATGCTGTCTGCAAATAACACGCGTTCACTAGATTTCCTCACGGGGACCCTTGCCCGCAATCTCTCCTCTCGAAGCCTGGAGCAGAAAACCTGCTCCGATGGGAGCACTGGTTTGGGCCGGGTCTGATGGTTCCTACTGTGAGTTTGTCCCCTCTCGGAGATAGGCCTGGGTTTGGCTGCATGCATTTCAGTCCCGTGTAGGATTTTCACCCCCCTGTAGTCCTTCTGTTTACACTCACCAAACTTCCCGTGAGCTATGGCCGTAGTTCTCACCTGGCAGATTGTAAAGAGGTTGAGCTTTTAAAGGCACATGTTGTTAGCCCCGTGTTGGGAGAGAAAGGTGTTAGAGAGGGGCTGGATACCATCAGAGGTCTGATAAAGCAGGCGGAGCTCTGCTGCATTCAGCAGGCTCACTACGGTTGTGCTAAAGGGAGAAATGTGATTGAAATCAGTCTGCTGCCGATCCCAAAGCTTGTTTTTAGTCGACAAACCATTGCACGGTGAGGGCTATAGGGATCTTGAAACATCTGGCACCTTCCATCCTTGAGAGCGAGGATTTCGGTTAGAGACAGCCCTGCGTCAGCGGGCACCTCTGCCTTTTCTGGCTGTTTCTCAAGCGTGCGTGTTTTTCCTCTGGGAAAACGTCCCCATTTCCGTGTAACTCAGTAGAAGCAGCTTTTCATTCCAGAATATGACTGGGAATCGTTTGCATGAGACCACAGGGCGCTTGGCACAGGTCAGAGCGGAGCTGGGACAGGTCTGGGAAATGCTATACAGCGGCTCATGACCCCGTGAAAGCCCCAGCCCCAGCCATCCACGGTCCTACCCCTGGTTCCTTCACTTGCATTTGCAAAGCTCACCGAGATGAAACTGAGGAGGAGGAGGATCTGATGAATAACAGCCCTGGCAGGCAGGACTCCTGCCCCGGTGCTGCTTCTCCCCGACTTGCTGTGCGTCCAAGCAGCTTTGCCTCTTTACCTCAGTTTCCCCACGTACGGGATGGGGACGTACTTACCTACCTCTCGGGGGCGTGGGGCTCGCTCCGTTTTGCAGAGCAGTTTTAAGACCCTTTAGTGAAAGGCGCTGTGACTTCCACACCGTGGCAGCAAACCCCCGACGCTCTCCTGACGGGTGAAGTACTTCACTCGCACGGACGGCCTCGTAGCAAAGCTGCGTCTTGGAGCCCCCCCGGCCCCTCGCAGGCAGCGGCCGTGCGCCTTTCCCAGCAGAGGGCTGAGCAGATGGGGCAGCGGGAGAGGGGCTGCAGCCGTCCGGTAGCTGGGCTGCACAAAGCTCGCTGCTCTGCGCCTTGATGCGAGCGTCTGAACTCACCGTGGGGTTTGCATCTTGGCAAAATCCCCTCGCAGCCCGGTTTTGGAGAGCCGGTGGTGACAGTGGGTCTGCGTTAGAGCTGAGAAGGGGTGGACAGCAGCTACCTGCTCTCCTCGGCCCGAGGTGTCCGGGTGGACATTTGAGATGTAAACAGGGAAGAGGATGCACTCGGATCTCCAGTAAAGCTCCATTTCCAAAATAACTTTTAGAATTTACCCCAAATTTCCTTTTGCAATCACCAGTTGGCATCAGCAGGGAGCGGTCGGAACAGCAGCCCCAGGTTATTTGTACACCTGGTATTTAGGGGCTAGAACAAGCTTGGCTGAGTTTTGCCAGGGCTTTAGAGCTGACAGCTTCTGTTTCCCCAGACCTGGGGTGAAATCTGATGTTTCAAAATCTTTATTTAGCTCTTTCTCAGGAACGGGTTCCATCTCCCAAGTCCTTTGTGGCACCGAGTGGCAAACTGACTTCAAAATAAGGGCCAGGCTAGCGAGAACCCAAGAGAGAGGACTAAAAGGGTTGTCTAAAAGAAGAAAAAAAAAAAGGAAAGCTCCGTCTAGTGCATACATTTCATATGCCATGGAGCCCCTTAAGACAGAGCCAGCGCCCCTCTGCCTGAAGCCCCCCGAAGCAGAGGTCGCGCTGCAGTTGCCCGAAGGGCTGCAGTGCCGTCCTGTTAGCCCGGGCACTGCGGGAAGCGGAGTCTTGCTGTGCCTGAAGTGCTCAAAAAGAGGTTGGGTTTGGGGTTGAGCAGCAGCTTCCCAAGCTGTAAGAGTGCCCTGAGGGTCTCTATATCCTTCAAAGAGAGAGGGAATTAATGAGAGGGACGGTAGCACAGTTTCTACGTGTAAGCATTTACCGTGCAGTTGCCCACACATACGCCAGATTTTGGAGGGTCTGAGCTCTTGCGTCTCCCCCTGCCTTCAGCTGGGAAGGGCGGGTTCCTCAGCACCTCCTAAAACCGGGCCACTAGAGCATGTGCCTTTCTAAGGGTGACCGTCCACCCCCAGCTGGGGTCACAGGCAGCCCTGCCTAAACGACAAAGCGTCCGCTGTGTCCCCCTAACCCTCACGGTTGTGTCCCATCTCCTGGCTGTACGCCTCGTTCTCTCCCAGCGCTGTTTTTGTATGACTCGGAAATCATTCATTCCATTATCTTCCTTTCTGTTTGCCTCTGAAAAGCTGATCTCCGGGCAGCTGTCTCCTACCACGGAAATGTAGTAACGGGGCAGAGACCTAAGAAGCAGTGGCCCGCTGACACGAAGATCATCTCCATCTGGCACTGGTGTCTGCCTCGGAGTGGGTGCATTGGCTGCTCCAAAAAGTGAGGGCTCCCAAAGCAGAGGGGGGAAAGGGATCCCAGCCACCAGCTGAGAAAAGCAGCTCTCTCCATTTCTAGCAAAGGAAAGTTGAGACTTCCGAGGCCGGGAGCGATGTCACCTTTTCTAGTTTGAGACAAACATCTTTCGACCCGTTTCTTTTTGGTTTTTTTTGTTTTTTTTTTCTTAACGTGCGAAATGATGCAGAGCAAATCCAGCTCACGGTTTCAATGTAGCACTGCATTTTTTTGGTGAGGAAAAAAAAAAAACCCAACCAACATATATCCTTATTTACTGAAAATCCACGCAGTCCGGCAAGGAGTACAATAGAAAGTCTTAGCAGTGGGAGTGGTGTGCGCATCTCTAACGGTACTTAAATTTGCTTCAATTCTGGGTGAACAGTAGAGAACGCCAAATTCTTGGAAATAACTTCCTCCAGCGTGAGAAGCCTTGCAGGGTAAGGCTGCAGCCGTTGATTTCAAAGCTACTCCACGCGCTTTTATAGCAAATGGAAATAAGGAAAAATAAAAAGAGTCTGCAAAGGATCTTTCACCCCAGAGTGGTTGTGGCCAAGTATTACCGAAGGTACAAAGCTTGCTTCCCCTACAGAGAACTGTTGCGTTGCAATACTTGACGTTTCTATGGCAAAGACACAATTTCGTCCCATTTACGCACTGACTACCTGGAGACGACTCCCTTCTCCAGCCTCTTGTGCACCTGTCTTGTTTTTAAATGCAGTTATGCCCTGAAGGGTTGGGGTTGGTTGTTTGGTTTGTTTTTTTTTTTTTTTTAAAGTATATTCAATTGTGATTTAGCACTTTTTTGATACTAGCTCGTTATTTAATGAGTGCAACAGTTTCAGAAGATGAACAAATAAGGAGTTAAATTGTGGGCATTACACCGAAACAGTTCCTACCCGAGGATAAATCATATCCACCCGAGGGTGGCTTGGCCCCCACCTAAGCCCGGTATCCCCAAATACCACCATCTCGAAGGTGCTGCGTGCTTTTCTTTCGAATTACCAGAGTATTTAACAGTGATTTAATTTGGCTGTGACTGATGTGTTTTCACAGTCCTGTTCCCCTCAAGGAAGAGACGTTCAGATGGTTGTGACTTTAATTCTTCAGACGCAAAAATGTAGCGCAGCGCGTTTGTTGTAATCTCGACAGGCGCTGGAATGGTTGGGGGTGTGGGACCCTGCTGCTTTACTAGAATGATATGCCCGAATCATTTCTGTTTAACTCCGGTTGCTGCTGTACGTCAGGATTTCATTTGGTCTCTCCAGCCAGTGAGGCTGGGAGAGAAATGAACCGTAATCCCAAGGGCATAGACCTGTAAATTATTAGGAGGGGGAAGTGGAGTTTGGGTTTGGTTTTTTTTTTTTTTTTAAGTTGATGAATTTAGGAAACCTAACATTCCTTGTTATGCATATGTTGCAATTCATGCTGGTGTAAGTGTAAATATTTGGTGTGTTGGCAACAAGTCTTTTTGGAGAGATTGCAAATTGAACCTCTGCTTGGGAGGAGGGACACCTTTCTTTTTTTTTTGATGCATGGAGCTTTTTGAAGGTTGGCTTGGAGGTGATGTGGTGATGAAGACTCCAATCTTCAGGGGACTGGGCTCGGTGACCCTGGTGGTCCTTTCCAGTCCTGCGTGTAATCCTATGGTTGTCTTTAGTGATCCAACAGTTCTTTAGCCAGATGCTCTCTTTCTCACTCCATAGACAAAGCAATTGTTTTGGCAGTGCGTCTCCCCTTTTCTTTCCATGGGTCTTCTCAAGGTACTTGCATGCTGGAGGCTGATCCTGGACCATGCCAGCTACTGACTCCCAGAAATCTGCGAACCATCCATTGCACAGTATTCCGGCTCTTCCTCCCTGTGAGGTTTTGCAGGATCTGGAGGAAAGTGCCCTCAATTTCTGGTGCTGAATAGGACTTTGAGTCAAAACGCATCTGCTGGGTTACCTGCCTGGGAAAAGGTGGTGCTGCCCTGGGCCTTGCTCCCCTTTTTAAGGACAGATTGTATTTTACAGACATTGGTTTATGGCATGAGTCCGGGCTGAGAACTCTAGACAGGTAAACTAATGTGCAGAGTTGTCTTTTTTTTTTTTTTTATATAGGAGGGGACAATTTTTCCTTTCAAATTGAAGCTGCTTTATCCTTTTTCATTTTGTATTTACAAAAAAAAAGAAAAAGCTAATCTTAGCTGTTCAGCCATCTTTGAACTTTTTAGAAGAAATTATGCAACTTTTTGCGGGGTACGTGCCTGTCCCCCTCCCAGGGAAAAGATGCGGCACCTTCCGGCTGTACCTGTAGTGAAAAGTCCGTACCTTCCGGAGGCTGCTGGGACACAGACCAGATGCCAAAGTCCCTCCGCACACGTCCAGTTCTGTGTGCAGCTGGAGTGGAGTCAGGTGCTTTAATGCTCTTTCCGCCCCACTTCAGAGGTTTCTAGCAGCAGAATTTCTTTGCCCTGGCTTGCTTCTGCTCGTGTCATTTCCATGCAATCGGATCTTTATTTTAGAGCAAGCACAGGGTTTGCAACGCTGTCTTGTTGCAAACGGTCTCCCTTTTAGGTCTCCTATTGGCGTTACTTAGGGCTTTTTTTGGGGCTTTTTTTTTTTTTTTTTTTTTTTTCCCCCAAAAGGAAGTAACTGTGCTGCTCTTGCAAAGTCGATCTAGTTCAAACATCCCAAAAGGAAGTAACTGTGCTGCTCTTGCAAAGTTGATCTAGTTCATTTTTCTTACCCCATGGAAGAATAACCTGAGATTCCCTAACAGGGCAGAGAACAGTCGAGTTCAGTTTGCAACGTAGACATTTTTGCTAATTGTGATGTATGGCAGTGGGACTGATTTGTAATACAAATGTTATTTAATCTGTCTGTATTTTGATACTTGAATTTCCTTTTATTTCCTGTATATACAATTGTTAATCTGTTCAAATTTGTCTGAATTTTAAACATCTTGTGGTACCAAACATAACCGATCTGTGCAACAACATAGACTGACCTCACTACAACAAGGCGAGATTGTAAATATTCCTGGGCTTCCAGCAGTCGTTTTGTTGTTTTCATAATTGTACAACTTAGAACAGACTGAATTAATAAACAACCTTAGACACACCCTCGCCCCGTTGTCACCTCAGTGTTGTACCAAAGCCTCCTGGTCACCTGTGGTAGAGGAATGCTGTTCCCATCGTCGTCAAACAGACCTGACCTGCGAAGGTAAGAGAAAAGGGGTGAGGGCAGGCGGCTACAAGGCGTTTAATGAGCTCCGTCGGGCACTGTACCTGCACCTCTCTGCTTTGTAAACCCAAGGAACAAGAAAAGCGTCGGAGCGTAGCGCAGAGGATACGCTGCGGTTGCAGAAGCAGAGCACAGGACACCAGGAAGCTGGGAGCGGTCCCGCTGCAGTTCTTCGGCAGCAGAACAGGGGTTCGTGCTGTCCCGAGGCGTGCAGGACGGGGAGCACTGGCTGCCGAGCAGTCGCTGCTCTTTAGCAGTTAGTCATAAATGACCCCAAATACTGAATATTATTATTTTTGAGACAAACTAATTTATGCATAAAAACACATCCACGTGTTCTGTTAAAAGACAGACCGACCCCCAGCACACCGCTCTCCAGCCGCTTTATGTGTGTTCTCCTGACGATGGTGAGAAAAAGCTCATCTTTACCCCCACTAATGTACGTTTGGGGGGGCTGTCAGGACCCTGATTTACTCCTGATAAACACTAAAATCGCTTTTCTGCAGCACGGCAGCAAGTGGTTCATGTCACAACTGTAACTGCTTCAGCAGCCATTGTACACAGTATTTACCCAGCAATGATTTTTGGTTTGCCAAGAAGTAGGACGTTTTCATTATGTAAAATTAGAGCAAGAAATCCAGCCATTTAAATACAGGCTAAAGTTCAGATTTTCATGTCAAGTAAAATCTAGCTGATGTGAAATACTAAATACACCAGGGATTGCTAAATTTATACCATATGTTCCATTTCTAATAATTCAGTAAGTCAGGTTTTCAAGCTAACATTGAAATACATTGAGTGGGTTTAATGATTTTAAATACCATGTGGCTTTATCAAATGCAAACAGCGTCCCTGGGCTGTGACTAACGTTTCAGCAAAGTAGGTTACAGGCAGAATTAACACCTTGAATTAAAAAAAAAAGCCTAAGCTGCACTGCAGTTTTATGAGCTCCGCACCCCACTGCCTTCCCCACCAAATAAGTGGCAGGTTTTTGGGGGGAAAAAAAAGCCACTACCTTTTGTGGTGGAGAGGTTTATTCGGATACTGACATGCCAAGAGTTGCTTCCCAGTAGCAATGGTGGCCACGGTGGATTTGTCAGATGGATTTTTACGAGCTGAGGCGTGACTTAAGAAACTGCTGGAGAAATGTGTTCCACCCCTGCCCGGTGCGTGAAGATAATCAGAAAGAATCCATCCCCGTGCCCAAGTCTGGTTCTGCAGCCCAGAGAAGCACCTTCTTGAGAATTCCTGAGTAGTAACGTCCAAACACCTGCCTGTTGTGGTGGATCGCGCTTCCAAACCTACGCCCAACTGCCAGCAGCTCTTCCTGAATGGGATCAAGGCCCTTTGAGAATTCTGTCCATCAGGGGAAATGAAAAGGCCGAGGAAGGAATGAATCCGCAGCTCTGTAGGGAGCAGAAGTATGAAAACAAAAATTAAATCGACCTTTGCACAGAAAGCTAGCGTTGCGGCAAAGGCTTCCTCACGCAGGAGTGGATCTGAGGACAAGTAACACTCTAGATCGGGGACACCGTGGATTAACATATTCCTCTTCCAAATACTGAGCAGACGAAACAGCACCCAGCACAGGAACCGAGGTGGAACTGTGACCCAAGGGGCATACTCAAGTATCGGGTGTACTTGCTGCTTTTTCGCTTTGTCCTGAGGAGCTGCTTCTAATGATGGCTATTGCTGGGTGCTGGGCTGAAGGACTTAAGAATGGTCAAAGCCATCAAAACTAATGTTAAAGTGGAGCAGGTCAACAGTAAAGATTTTTTTTCACCCACTCTGAGAGTTTTTGTACTGCACTGAAGCGTCAAGCATCTTAGAAGCGTAATGGAATATAGAACTTCACAGCCCTGGATTTATCTTGCCTGCCACAGCCGCATTTTGAAATTGAAAGCATTCAAGAAGCCTCTCTGAGGAACACAGAGCTGAGATTCAACTGCCCGGCTGCTTCAGATGTTCTTGCACTTGAAGTGAGTACGCGGAAAATGTAGATAGCGGCCAAGAGTGCAGGCAAGACACGGGTTTCATTTTTAGAAGCGGAGGGGGGAAGGCCGTCTAGTCCCGCAGCTTCTAACGCCGCACCGTCAGTGAGTCATTGCCATCACACACTGCCCAGCCTGTAGTTCATCGAGGTTTGATTTAGGCTATTAATTCAGCCGCCTGATTTTACAGCAAAACAAAATAGCCTGCTCTGACATGGAAAGAATAAACCCAAATAAACAGTGTGGTGGGGTCCACGCGGGCTGGGAAGGATACTTAACTAGCTGAAGCAGTGGGCAGGAAGAGCCTCACCTTATTTTCATAGCTGATAAAAGCTACTCTCCCATGTGGAAATAATCTTCCCCATAGTGTACTAGGTGCCTGTGGCACCGCAATATGATGTGGAGTTAGCGTTCAGAGTACTAGTAAAAGGTCAAAATAACCAGCTCTTATCCAAACCATTTGCATAAATATTTTGATGGAGCAGCATTATAGGGCAGCTGGTTAGCTGAATACCAAGCAGTGCACTCCCTAGGGATAAATATTATTTCAAGATCTTAGCATGGTGCTTTGCTACAGCCAGTGATTAAGCTCTTGCTCTACAGCCTAGCCTGAAGATTGCAACACTACCTAGGAACAGAGCTTGCACTTGGGCTTGTTCAGCTTTTAGCAAGGATGGGAGGATTTAGGAAATTTTTTCAAAGCAATTACTGTTTGGGACCAGAGCATTTCAGGGTGGAATAGGAAAATCAAGGCAGTTTCTAAACCTGGCTTTCCTGACCCTCCTCTCCTGCGCAGACCATGTGGAGGGGCCGGATACTGAACTCCACTCCCACCCTCAAGCAGCAGTCCTGCTCAATGCAGGGAGTTTGCTTTGCTAGTACCGATCCTAGACCCGTCCTGCACGCTCCAGGGTCATTAGCCTAAACCTAAGTTGTGGCCTACAAGCCAAAGTGGCTTCAAGGTTGAGCTAGACAAAAGCTAAGAGACTCACTGATGACACGCCGGACTGCATTGCCCTTGTCCGTGATGGTTTTTATCTGGCCTTTCAGGGAAGCACATTTGTTGGTGGTAAAAGGTCCTGCAGACCTCCTGGAGCACTCGGTCACTGATGGCTTCTAAAGCTTCTTCATCCCTAAATCATGCTAAGGTACATGCACTCCTGCCCCGACTCCCCCGGGCTGGGGAAGGGGTCTTGCAGGCACAGAGCAAGGAGGGGAGTCTCTCCCCATGCCTGTGGGGCGTCAGCACCGCCAGCTAGCGCAGGACACCCAACACCCAGCCAGAGCTCTCTGAACCAAGCTTTCCCTCCCAGCTCTTTGGCCAGCAGTAGGCTGCCCTGCGGCTGACTCATGAAATAGCGATCAGCACTACTAATTCGCCCCTCTAATCAAGAAGGGACTATCGCTCTACAGAGTTAACACCCGGCTGAAAATGCTGGCTGGCTTTCCCCACTCCTTGCAGTAGACCTGTTTTTGAGTGCCTGCATACTCACTCTTCTCCTTCCAGAAAAGAAAACTCGGGAGTAAACCACATGGTACAAGACAGCCCTTCCAAGAGGACCTCTGTTACCCATTTCAGCCTAGCTACAAACCCAGGTGAGCCACACAGGGGGCTTCCACACATGCCCCAGGCCACTAGGACTGCAGCTATGACCATAAGCTGATTCACCTGCACTTGTACCTCCTGCAGGCAGGCCTGATCCAGAAACAGTGTCTGTGAACAGAAACCAGATCAGCCTGTGGGGGTAGAAACAGCAGCTGTGATAACTCAGCAGATCTCAAGCCATGGAGCAGGGCTGTAACATCCCTGTGAAGCTGAGGGGAGGCAGCTGCCTGGCAGCAGGGAAATTTAGTTTTATGAAAAATCCAATTGGTTTCACATAGGGAAAAAACACGTGCAATGGTTTGCGTGGTGTAGAGGAGACAGAGAATCTGGGCAGTTCTTTCTATAGAAGATGCAGAACCGTTACGCTTCTTTGTTTTGTACATCTTTATGAAAATGCTGTAAAGGCATCCAAGCACTCCTCCTACCTCAGGGTATTCCTTTTGCCCAGGCTGCCAGCAGAGCAGATCCATGTATCCTCCGATTCAGCACGGATGTGAGACTTGGCACAGTTGCGCTACTGCTGACGGCCCCCGGCGAGCGTGCGGCAGGTTGAGCCGCAGACTGCAGGGCGGGGTGGTGGCTGCGAAGAGGATGCAGACACTTGGGCTGCTGCTTTGCACAGCCATTGTCTTGTGCGATCCAGGCTATCTGCAAGGGGGTAACAAAAATGGATGTTTGCTAAGTCAGAAAGAAGTGGGTATGCTATACTGCAAGCTGAAGGGGACGTGCATTTGGAAGGCAAAGGCATCGTGCTGGCTCCTGAAACACCAGGGAATGGCTTACCCCATGGCTAACATAAAATATTAATGTCCTGTTGTCAGGGCACAGGGTTAGGCTACTGAGACTGGTATCCGGAGAACATTGTATTTCACAGAGGATTTCAGTCTCCAAGAAGCACCTTTAATGGAGTCTGATGAAGGAGAGAGGCAGCCAGGGAGAAATCTACAGCCTAAGCAAAAGAAAAGTCTACATCAAATGCAGGCTTTCCTCTTTAAATACGCCTCCTAACATTTTGCTCATTCCTCTGAGGATCTCAGAACACTTTAAACTCGTGAGAACTTAACGGTTCCTCATGAGAAAGCTATCGGCTCTGTCTTACGCACACAGAAATTGAAGGCACACTAAGTAACTTCTTTTCTGCAGGGTATGTTAGTGAAGAGCCTTGAGGAAGGGACCCAGGAGCCCGCCAGCTTTTAGAGGCATTTCTCTCGCCTGTTACTGAGCACGTGATGAAAGCATCACCTTTGGAATACTAAAAGTTCCCTTTCAGTGCTTTACTAGCTCCTGTAGCAGTAGCAGTTCTCCTTTCCCTTCCCCTCTGACTTACTAGGCAGCTTATCCAGCAGTTCCTGGAATTTCTTCCGTTCGTACTGGACAGTGTGGTCTTGCAAGTGGGTGCGGAGGCTCTGGACGGTAAAATTCAGCATACCCATTTTCATCAGGCCCAACACCTGGAAAATCTCCCTGGGATGAGACACAGTGAGTTGAAGGTTTAATACCACAGCAAATGCTGCAATTGGGGCCATTTTAGAATGCTGAGAAAGGGGAATTCAGATCCTCTGACTTGATTCCATTTTCTCACAAAAGGTTGCTCAGTCTAATTGGAGTGGTCCCTAAAAATTATTAGATAAACCAGATTTACTTCATTAAAGACTCTTCTACTGTCTAAATTGCAGCTGGGCAACAGGAACATGTCTACATTGAAAAAAAATAAGGAAGTCAAAGCCCAGAATGCACGAAAGGGTCCTTGAGCCCTAATTCCAAGGTGGTTTCCTCTTAACCCAATGTTTTATGGTTGAAGGTTTTGCCGGTCCGTGTAGACAAAGGTCAAGCCAGCATCACCCACCTGAGAAGCTGAGCTGGGTCTGTCAGGCTTTGCAACGCTCGTACTTCCTCATCTTGAACGGGCACACACAGCCCTGCCATTGTGCCAAGGACGTACACGGTGAGACCATGGACATCCAGAGCCCCGTGCTCAGCCTCCCGTCTAATCAACTCCGTGTCCAAGGCCTCTTCAATCTGGCTCCGCAGCTGGTTGTGCCGTGGCAGCAGCAATGATAGCAGGGCCTGCCCAAAGAAGCAGGGGTCTCTCTCTGTTCCAGGAACTCAACAGTTCTCCAGAGTCGCTCAAGAGGAGTCAAGGTTGGCCTTGTATTGAGGCTAAGCTAACATCTCGGTGCACGCGCTGGGTTTGGCTGGGGTAGAATTGATTTTCCTCACAGCAGCTGGTACGGGGCTGTGTTTTGGATTTGTGCTGGAAGCAGCATGGATAACCCCGGGATGTCTTTGTTCCGGCTGAGCAGGGCTTACACGGAGCCAAGGCCTTTTCTGCCTCTCAACTCACCCCACCAGCAAGAGGCTGGGACGGGGGTACAGCCAGGACAGGGATATCCCACACCATATGACGTTATGCTCAGCATATAAAGCTGGGGGAAGAAGAAGGAAGGGGGTGATGTTCGGAGTGATGGCATTTGTCTTCCCAGTCACCATTACACATGATGGAACCCAGCTGTCCTGGGGATGGCTGAGCACCTGCCTGCCGAGGGGAAGCATGGAATGAATTCCTTGTGTTGCTTTGCTGGTGTGCATGGCTTCAGCTTTACCTATCGAACTGTCTTTATCTCAACCCACAAGTTCTCTCACTTTTACTCTTCCAATTCTCTCCCCCATCCCACAAGGGGGGAGTGAGCAAGCGGCTGCGTGAGGCTCAGTTGCCGGCTGGGGTTAAACCATAACAGTGCACAAATTCTGGGGCACGCAATCACTTTAAGGGAACGCTCGACTCTAATGACTCACTTCAGGATGTCTGGTTACTGCTTCAAACCTTGCAAAACCTCCTTTACTGTCATGCATGAAAGAAGGGAGTTACCTGTCTGGATCTGGTTTTAGTGCTAAACCATGTTCTTAGTCATTTCATTGTACACTTAAATAGCAGATATAGCTCCTCATATGCCTGAAGAGGTGTCTTTGTATAGAGAATTGCAGTTTTTAGCCAACAGTTCAAATAAAGGCTTTCCAACCTTTTGGTAAAGTATGTGTTTTAGAGATCTGGGGCCAGAGAATGAGTTTTCCTCTCAGACAGGTTTTAGAAGGGGCAGTTGTGTAATTTGGGCCTCCTTATAAACTAAAAGGAGCCTATTTTCTCCTCCCTCTTATGCATGTTCACATAGGAATACTGGATGTAAGGGGTAAGGTGATGATTCAGAGAAGACTCATTCTACAGTAACCCCCTTCTCTGGTTCAGGAAAAACTCGCCTCTTGTAACTCCTGCAGCAGCTGGATTGCCCAGGCGTAGTTTTGGGGACTAGCAGAGAGCTGTTCCTCCAGGCTGTCCCAGAAGGCTTTGTGCAATGTCTCCTTCACTCTGTTTTCCAGGCTAAGAAAGAAGAGAGGATGGGAGGGGTTTTCTGTTATTTTCTATTAACATCAGACAGCCACAACCTCTCAGTTCAATGGGACTGTTCCTCTTGGCTTTCATTGCAGCTCACGTCTTTGGATATTTTCTTCTCTTAGCCTTTTCTCCTGTCTGGCAGCAATGCACCTCGCCTTTCCCCAGCTCATGGAAATCTCTCTCAACCTAAATTCCCTAGCCTGCTAAAGTGGAACTCCTTCCTTTCAACCCTGTTCATAAAATGCAGCACTTTTAACTGGTCTTAAGGGGTAAAAGAGCATAGCGGTTTTCAAGGAAACTCTCCAAGCCCTTGGAGAAGATCAGCAGAATGTTTTTCTAGCTCGCGTTTGTTTTTGCAACGAGATGCCAGCCACTTAAACAGATCTTTAACTAAAACGTAGGCACCTCAGAGGAGATCTTCACTGCAAAGTCTGCTGTGTTCAATGTCAAACTCACAGCTTACACAGCTGAAGCCTCTAAACCTTTCAATGTTAGCGAGTCATATCTGACCCTCATTGTATTTAAGAACGTCTTAGTAAATCATGAGGCAATGAATAAATAAAATGAGCTCTGACTTTTCTTTTTATTTCAGGAGCTATCTTATTTTTTTGTTACTTCTACACTCAGATCCAAACCCTCCTCCTTCCCACACTCTCACCTGTTTTCTGTAATGTGACAGAAAGAAGCCAAGCCTGAAAAAGAAAAATATATATAAATATGTATACCTTTTGGGGGAGAAGCTGGCTGCTTGCACTTTGAAGTCACTGCCGAGTACAATTTCGTGCACAGTGGTCAGTTTGGAAATGTCATCAGTTATTGCTGTAGCTCATTCGCGGAGGGCTGGCTGTAATAAAGAAAAATATATATAAATATGTATACCTTTTGGGGGAGAAGCTGGCTGCTTGCACTTTGAAGTCACTGCCGAGTACAATTTCGTGCACAGTGGTCAGTTTGGAAATGTCATCAGTTATTGCTGTAGCTCATTCGCGGAGGGCTGGCTATAATAAAGCAGGATAAAAGCGAACGAGAGAAGGAA